TCAGGGACATAGAAAGGGGATGGACTGACTATTGTGGGGGAAAGGGGTGTGGGAGATGCGGGAAGAGACTGGACAAAAATTGTGCACCTATGGATGAGGACAGCGGGGTGGTAAGGGCAGAGGGTGGGGTGGAAACCGGGTGGAGGGGAGCTATGGGGGGAAAAAAGAGGAACAACTGTAATCTGAACAATAAAGATTTAATTTAAAAAACAAAAACAAAAAACAACAACAAAAAAACGGGGCACTTTGTTCTGCTTTGAATTTGCTCCCTGACCTCTCTTCTCTGGAGAGTAATTTAGCTCGATGAGAAAACCCTTGGGGTGTTAGTCCTGCAATTCCACTGCGTGGTTTCGTGTCAGTGCTGCTCAGGGGGCCTGGGTGAGCTTGGTGTGGTCACTGCATTCAGGCCTGGAGGACGTGGTGACAAAGGAGGACCTGGGTGTCCTGTCGTCTTCTGTGGCCTGGGGGCCTGTCCTGGGGGCCTGTGGGGAGGGACAGGGCGAGGCCTTGGGGACAGGGAGCTTGAGGCTCACAAGCCTGTGCGGCCTCAGCCGCAGGGTGAACAAGGTGCATCCAGGTGGCAGCAGGCCCGCAGGAGCTCAGCTGGCATCGTTGATGAGAGTCCGAGAGGGATCCAGCAGGCGCTCCCGCTCGCCCTCCTCTGCTGGGGACTGGCCGCGGGCCAGGCGGGCCAGCAGCGGGCGGTGCAGCCCGTTGTAGAGGGCAGTGCCCATCAGGAGGATGAGGAAGCCGAGGATCTGCAGCGGGTGGAAGGCCTCCCAGCCCAGCGCCAGGCTCACTGCCCAGATGACGACGGTCCGCAGGCTGTCCAGCACCATGCGGGTGGTGGCACTCATCTCCTTGGTGACGCTGATGCCCGCAAAGTTGAAGAAGGCGATGCTGCTGATGTTGCCCAGCAGCGCCAGGGCGATGAGCGGCTGCCGGCCCACCTGGCAGAAGGCGTCCAGGGCGTCCTCCAGCATCCCTCGCGGGTTTCCGCTAAAGGAGCCGGCAGGGATGTAGTACATGGGCACCAGCAGCAGGGACAGGATCACGAAGCCAAAGAGGCCTGGGGAGAGAAGGGAGCACGCCACACTCTCTGCTTGGCTCCGATTCCCACTCCCAGCACATCGGGGCCAACAGGCCTCCCCCCATCTCCTGCCACCCCGTCCTCGTGGCCCCCACACCAGGGCCTTCCTCTCAGGACCGAGAGCCGTCCCCTCTCATCCGGAGTTCACAACGGCCACTGAATGGGCTCCAGCTGCCCTTCTCCATGTTAACCCACACTTTCCGACTACACCAGGAGAAAGGCATTTTACATTGCGGCCAGTGTATGCATGCACAGGCACACACACACACGTGTGCTTTCACAGAACAGCAGCTACCCTTACAGTGTGCAATGCTCTCTGACTTCTCAATTCCAGTCTACTCGTTTAAGAAAGAATTGCTGGCCATCACCACTACGGTGCCCACGAGTGTGGAAAACTGCTCTCATTCAGCGTCACTGGCCTGTGATAAGGAGCTGAACCAGAATGTAAATCAATGCATCGCTTCATTCAGAAAGTCTGGCTAAGGAAAAAAGGAGCAGAACAGAGCATCCGTGACAATGTCGTTGACGTAGTTATGAACATTCTGCCATAGCCCTCAGCTCACCGTGGACCAGGCACACAGAGCAGCCTGACGAGGCCACAGGCCACATTTGGTAGCACTGCTCTAATCCTCTCTGCTAGCTTCATATTTTTAAAGCATAATTTTAATAGCTATTTCCCTGCTTTAAAACCTCTGGTGATTCTTCCCTGCCTGTCACTTAAATTCACTTGCCTGATGTTTAAGGTTCTCCATGTGAACTTAACCTGATCATTTTCCCAACATCAAAACTGCATCTTGCCCAAATGATTCCTCACTGGGTTGTAAACTCAGGTCCAGCTCCCCCTGTCTTCACTCTGTCTGGGGTTCCCTCCTTCCTACTCTGCCTGTTGAAATTGCAGCTCAAATGCCACCTTCCCTGACCCAAGGCACTCACGTAGGCTTGGCAGGTGCAACATCACTTGAGCACTGGTGACCTGAGCTCAAACCACTGCTTGGTCCACTTCTTGCTGGTCAGCGCCCCTAGAGTGAGGCTTACAACTAATTCATCTTCAGCCTCATCCTCCCTGAGCTCCTGGTCATGTGCACATACGTGGCGAAGGGAGGAAGGAAGCGGGCAGGATGCTCACCCCTCCCAGTGGTCCCTGGCACCTGGACCTGTGCTCCTACATGTGCGTTCACTCCACATGCGTTCACTCCACCTGGACCTGTGCTCCTACATGTGCGTTCACTCCACTGGAGTGTGCCCCCGACCAGCACCCTCCCCCCAGCCCATGCTCACTCACCCTCCGTGCCAACTGCCCGCAGAGGGTGCACGTTGTGTTTGTAGACGAACTTCTCCTCGAGCACCATCTGGATGGAGACGATGATCTGGGCCATGATGATCAGCAGGTCCCCTGTGGGAAAGGACCAACAGGCCCAGGGTGAGGGAGGCAGCAAGCCAGAAGGCCATGGGGCTGTGGGCAGGGTGGCGGGCCCAAAGCTGAGGGAAGACGGCCCCCCAGGGGACAGAACAACAGCCCGTGACTTTTGCAGGACAAGATGGTTCATGAGGCACAGTCATAACTAATCTGCTGGCCTGGGGGGGGAGGGTGCGGGTAGGTTGGTAAGGCAGGCACCTCACCCCCTCTGGGCTGAGGTCCCAGAAGGCCCAGAGGCCTGCAGAATGGGGTAAGCAGGTCTTTTGAGCACAGGCGTGGAAACAAACATTTCTGGTTTTTCCTACCTCTGAGTGACCAGGGTGGTCACTTCATTGTAGAATGGGCTGCACTGCTTTCTTTCTGGAGGAAGTACTCAATACATGTTCACTTCCCTCCTCCCCCAAATCCAGCGGTTTGGGTGCAGACAGGTACATCACAGCACACGCTCTCTTCCTCTGACCCCCGGTTCCTTATCTACCCATTTCTCATGCTACTTGGGCCTCTGGCCTCCCCTGCACTCTATGTGCCAACTTGAGAGCAGGTGATGTCCACAGCAGCGGGTCCCCACAGGCCCACCCAGGGCTTGGCATGCAGCAGAGCTTGTAACAGCTCGTTGATTGGCTCTGTGCGGGGCTCCTAAAGGACAGGAGGGCGGCCCTGGGTCCCGACCCCGCTGCACCTGTGATCACTTCGCTGAGCTTGTGCTGATCGTCGTGCTTGCTCAGGAGGTCGGCCAGGCCCACGACCACCAGCCCCGCGATGGTGGCGAGGATACCCAGCCACTGGCTCAGCACCAGCCTCCGCCCCAGGAAGGCCACTGAGAACAGGCCTGTGAATATGATCACTGCTCCCCGCAGCATCTGGAAACTGGAGGCGCTGGTCATGTTCAGGGCTGGGAGAGGAGACACGTGACATTAGTTCCTGAGAGTCAAGGCTGTCTGTCCGCCGAGATGTTCTCAGGGTGCAGACATGCCTCCCATGTGGTATGTGCTCAGTGAATCTTGGGTGAGCATGTGTTTGTGAAAGTCTGTGGGAGAGGGCCGGGGTGGTGAAGATGAGCTGGGGTGGGAGTGGCTGTTTCATCAATGGCCCCCTTGGGTCATGGGCTTCTCTGAGCCCTACTCGGCCTGGCCTGGCTACTCACCCACATACATGATGCTGGTCCCGGTCATGTCGCAAAGGGCTGGGGCCAGGAAAAGAAGGGGGTTGAAGGGCTGCTGGGGATCCATGCTGGCATCTGAGTACCTCGCGGCTCTGCACCGGAGCAGGTAGAAGGCAGCCAGGCAGGAGAACTCCCCCAGGAACATGCCCACCGCCTGCAGGGACAGAGCCCTAGGAGTTTAGAGCTGGAGGGAGGGTCACCTTCAACAAAAATATTTTAAACATAACCTTTCTTCAGACAGGAGCTTACCTATAACCCCAACCCATAGAACTGGCACAAGCAATGCTGCTGTGTGGGAGGCCAGAGACTGCCGCCCGGGTCACCCCTCAGCCCCTTGAACATCTTGACACAAACCCTAAGGCTGTGTAGAGCCTTGTCTGAAAACCACTGATCTAGGCCAACCCCTGGTCAAGTTCCAGATGGATAAACAGGTCCAGAGAGGCTCAGGAATTTATTTAAGGTCAAAGAGCAAGTTGCTGGCAGAGCTGGGCTGAAATCCGGGTCTCCTACTTCCCTGTGGAGCAATAAGGTGCCTCCTATTTATGGTCCCTGTCCCTGTGGGGTCTGGGCTCCCAATGGATGGAAAGCAGGTTTTGCCATGAGGGTTGATGTTTTCCATATGTGTCCTGACTTAGACGTGGTGAGGGCTGGCCTCACGGTGCCCACTCAGGCCTCTCACGGAGGACTGTGCCCTCTGCCCCTTCCAGGGCATTCACACTGGCCTCTCTTCTGGGGAGGGAGAGAGACGTGGGAAGCTCTCCTGGGAGCAGGGGGAGACTCCACCCCCAGGACCGGAAACAGCAGGGCCTCCGGGGCCAGGGGGCTGGGTGACAGGAGGTGGGGAGGATTGGGAGGTGGGGAGGGTCGTGGGGAGGGTGGGGCAGGTACCTGGAGGAAAGGGTGCTGGAAGCTGTGCTCCTTGCTTCCTCCGCAGCCCTGGGCCGCGAAGTTGTCAGCCCACCTGCAGCAGAGAGAGAAGGTTAAACCCTGTAGTGCCGCGGGTGCCTGCGGACAAGCTCACTCCTCCCAAGGCCAAAGGCCATACTTGGGGGACTGGGCCCAGAGTGGGGCTCCCTCTCAAAGGGGCCAGTCTCCGCGCAAGGAGTTTTCATCTGGGGATGTGGACAGAATGTGGGGACTTGAGAACCTTTTGCTGAAATGTCATGAACCTCTTACTGAAATTAAGCTTTTCCTCAAATTCTGAACACGGCATTGTAGCACTGGGGCTTTGTCACAGAAACCACAGCTATTCTCACGATCCCACGAGGTCATTGCGGATGCTGGGAAGTATCATCACACTCATCACTGCTCCAAATTTATAGTAACTAGGCCCACTGTTTACAATTTTATGTGTTAAGAAGCATATAGACACATTACTATTCATGAACTTGCCCTTTTAATGTTCTGATAACTTCATGTCAGCACAATTGGCTTTTTCTGTGATCCTCAGTCTTTTATTTGCACGTTTTAAAACATTACTTTAGGATTCACCAGATTATCAAAGAGACAGCACAACAATATCAGGAGTCACTGGTCTCCAAGGGCACTTGGGCCTGGGAAATGCCGCCTGACGGACACCTGGTCACCTTCCTGTGACCGGAAGGCTTGGAGGGTCTTTCCAGTGCAGACGCGAAGGCAGATGGCAAGTGCCCGGCACCAGTGAGCACCCTGGCAGACGGCATAACTGATTATGGCTCGCTTCCCCAAAGAGCCCACACAGGCCCAGAATCCTTCACGGCCCAGGGCGCTGGACAGCTACCACCAACATTCTGTGTTGTCCGCCGTCTGTGCACTGAAGCCCCGCCCTTGAGTTTCACTTTTGCTGGGCTTGGCTGTGTCCCTGTGGTCTAGTCTGACCTCTCTCATTTGAAAGCCCTTCCGAGATTTGGGGACTTTTCCACCTTCTGATTGTTCTAATCTCCTGGCTAAACAGCTCAGCCCTTCCTAACCTCTCACTTCCCTGGCTGCTGGCTTCTGGAAGTGCGCTGGCGGGCCAGGCTCAGAGCCAGGGGCATCTGAGCCTGGCCCAGACTGAGCCTGGAGAGACAGCGACCCCTCTCTCACGTGGGATGCCCTGGTTAGTTGACATGACTGTGTCTGCTGACTCAAGTGAGTTGACACAACTTGGACTGCGTCACACTGCTGACTCAAGTCACTCAGACCCAGGCTGCTTCCTGTGGGCTGCCGGCCGGCTCCCTCTGCAGCACCCACCGAAGGCAGAGGCTGTCTCGAACCGGAGAGATCAGGACTTCTCCCAAAAAGTCGGTCAAGAGCAGCCTCACTGCAGTGCCCAGCCCGACTCCAGAGGCATCCTTGCACAAGCAGGGGAGCCTTCTGCTTCCTGTGCCCCCACAGAGCCACAACCCTGGTTGTGCCAAGCAGTTAAGAGTCTGTGTTTGACACATATCCTGTCCAGCCCTGGCTTCTCTGTGCCCTGAGTTTGGGGAGGGGAACAGGAAGGTCTTTCCCACAGCCCAGGGCGAGGGCACAATGCCCGGATGCTGGCAGTGGGAGGGCGAGCTGTGTGGTGATGGAGCCCCTGGTCACCCGGGAGGGCAGCCCAGGCCTGTGAGGGAGACCACGTCTACCCAGGTATCCGAACACATCCCAGGGCAAGTGAGCAAACAGGGCTAAGGCCACCTTATCTCACAGAGGGAGACCCCTATCCACTCCCCGAGATGGGGGTGAGAGGGGCAGTTAGGAGGGCTCGTGGTTCTTGGGAATGACGAGGCCCAAAGGAGAGCTGCAGGGCGGGGAGAGGTTCTGATGTGACTGGCTGGGAAGGCAGAGAGGAATCCGGGTCAGGGGACCGGCTACAACCAGTCCCAGCACCAATGGAGGAAGGCAGCCCTCGCTGCAGAATAAAACCACCCGCTCTCTGGGGCTCATTTCTGCCCGATCCTCTACAGGTTCTGGCTCTTGGGTCCCCAGGGAGGGCAGGACATGGGACGGGGGTGGGGGCCACAGATAGATGTGGCTTAGGGCAGGCATGGTTTACAAGCTGCTCGCTTTTGCAGAAGAGCCCCCTGGGCAGGTCTGGGGGAGGCAACTGAGTGAGACAGAAGAGTGAAGAGGCCAAATCTCACCCAGGGCACAGAGCCAACTTGCCCAGAGGAACGGAGCAGGTTGGAGAGGTGGGGATTCCTGGGGCTGGAGCCAGGGCTCCTCCAGGAGGGCTCAGGGAGGTCCTGCCAAGTCCAACAGGTCAACCAGAAGCCTTGGCCATGGCAGGTATGGAAGCCCTTCCTCATCCTGGGGCCACACCCAGAGCAGAGACGGGCAGGTTCAAGATGACCACTCACACCTGTCTCACTCTCTGGTTCCACACTCACTGTCATTTAGAGTAAGTTCAGCAGCCAGCAGCTCCCATGTCTGTCCCCTGCTCCTGGCACATCACTATACAGAAGCTCCAACATTTTTTGGTTGAATGAATGAGACTTCCAGACCCCTCCAAGCAAACAGGCAGGTGCTACGTGCAGCCCAGAGGCAATGTCTCATGAGTCCCAATTTCCCACCTGGTCTGAGGTGCCCTGTGCTGGTGGGACAAGCTGGGCCCAGGGTGGGGCACTGTGTGGGGAGCTGGATGCAGGGTTGGTGCTGAGCTCCTCCCCTCTCCCACCTCCACCCTAAAGGGCTGTCTTTGCTTTCTCCCAGGGGTGGGTCTGCCTGAACAGGTTGGGCTGGCAGCATTCCCAGCTGAGGAAAAGGAGTCTTTTTGTATCTGAGGGCCTGGGGATGGCTTATAGCCCAAGGGATTAGGTGTCATGGGGACAGGCTGCCCTGCCCAGGCTCTCTTCAGCCCGGGAGGAGATCAGGCCAGCGGACACTTTGAGAGGAACTAGGCTTCACATCCTGGCCCTGAGACAGACCTCAGTTCATTGTGCAGGCACAGGAGGGCCTCAGTAGCCCAGAACAAGAGCCAAAATCCAGCCCAGTCCATCTGGGGATGACAGCAATGACCCTAACGTGGAATAGCTCTTGGCTATTTGCAAATCATGTCACTAAGATGTTTTTAAAAATACAGGGTTCACTGAGTACTGACTTGGTGCCAGGACTGCCCAGCACTTCCTGAGGGTTGTCTGGTCGAAGCCTCACAGGGATCCTCATTTACAGACGGGGACTTCAAGGTGTGGGGTGGAGGGGAGGGGAGAGGTGTGTTCAGGCTCAGACAGTTATCAACAGGCCCAAACCCATGTGCTGACATTTACATTCAGAAAAGGCAACAGACTACCTGGAAAGCTGATTTGAGTTTCATAGGCTGGACAAGTTATAGTGTTCTTATCTATAAAATGGGGATAATATTGCCCTAGCCGGTTTGGCTCAGTGGATAGAGCATCGGCCTGCGGACTGAAGGGTCCCAGGTTCAATTCCGGTCCAGGGCACATGCCCAGGTTGTGGGCTCAATCCCCAGTAGGGGGTGTGCAGGAGGCAGCCGATCAATGATTCTCTCTCATCATTGATGTTTCTCTCTCTCTCCCTCTCTCCCTTCCTCTTTGAAATCAATAAAAAAATATATTTTTTTAAAAAATGGGATAATACTAATGAATTGTCAAAAGTAATAAATAAGATACATAAGACCTGGTGCATGGCAGGTGGTCAATCAGAGTTCTTTTCTGCGCCTTTTCCCTTTCCCCTGATTGAGCGGGAGCCACCACCCCTTGTGGTACGCCAGGCTCTGCTCCCGCCTAAAAGCT